CTGATTCCGCGTTCTTCGAGCTCTCGCTCTACGGTCTCTCTGGCCCTGCCGTCCAAGGCAGGCTTGACAGCGCCCAATTTCTGGCGGTGCGTTTTGTAACCCAGTTCGGCGCACGCGTTCTCGAGGACTACTTCTTCGCGAAGGAGTCCTGCGGACGACTCGACCTTGATCGATGGGCGTTTTCGAACCCACTTGAACGTCGACCCAGACTGCTGCCCCCGCACGGCCGTAACCAGTGCAGTGACCGACGGGGCCATTACTTCAATGGGATTTGTCGAACCCCTACCGGCCTCTGGGCGCTGGGGCTCGCCGGCGCCTGTCGCGACGCTGCGGTCCAGCTCTGAATCGAGGCGCCGGACGGCCCGGCGTTCTGGCGAAGGCGTCGGTCCGCCTAGCTGCTCGGGCGGCGCTTGCGCGCCGAACCCTGGAGCCCCTCCAGGCCCGAAGCCGTGCGAGCTCGTTTTTTGTTCTGCTGTTGTTGTTGGGCCAGGTGCTGGGCCCCCAGAGCCTGAAGCTCTTCGAGCTCCTGTTGCTCGGCGGGGTCCAATCCCGCGCTTCCAGCCGGGACCTGGCTCATGGCCGCCAATGCATCCGCCGCTCTCGCCTCGGCCCCTGCAGCTCCTCGCGCCGCTGCCATCTCTGGAGTCTCGCCCCAGCGGCTTCTTCGACTCCCAACGAGGCCATAGCGAACAGCAGCCGGAGCGTCCGTTGCCCCTCCCAGGGCGTCTGCAAAGCTGTCTGATGAGGTTCCGTCGTGTTCGTCTCTTGGCGGGGCTCCTATCCCCGCTGGGTGAGCAGTTCCCGGAGCAGCCCCCAGTTGTTGGAGTGGCGCCCTAGGAGGGCCCTCCTGGTTCGGTCATTGCTCACCCTCTCGGCTGTTCTGTCCCCCCCCCCCCCCTGTTTCCCCGGCCCCCTCTCTCTCTCTCTCTCTCTCTCTCTCTCTCTCTCTCTCTGGCCGCCAATCAAGAGAAAAATGACAACCAAGAGAAAGAATGATAAGAGGGAAATGTATGTGAAGAGGTAGGGTAAAAGGAAAGATGCAACTTTTCTGACTCCGCTCGGAGCCTTGAGCCAAGGTTCGCGCGCGCGCGTGCATTCGTGCAACTGCTCGCTGCTATGCCACACTGCCTGCTTCCGACGCCCGCGTTCTATACATGCTGTCGCTGAGACGCAAGGAGAGGCCCAGGAGGTGAGGATGACCACGAAGACGATGTGCAACGTTTTGCCGCCGGGTGGTCAATAGCGGCCTGGTGCGATAATCCAACCCACGCCCAGGTAGCAGCCAAGAAGTTTGGCCTGAAAGTCGACTGCGTCCGCCTGCCGCGGGCCGGGCCTGAGCCGCGCTGCCGGGGGTGAGCAGCGCCGCCGAGGCGGCAAGGTGCAGCGCCAGCGCAGGGACGGAGCCGCGCTGCGCCGGGCGCCGCCGCCATGGGAGGGGGGGAAAGCGAGCGGGGAAGGGAAAAGCGAACAGGGAGGAGAGAGGCCAGCGCCCCACGCCAGCCGGAGCCCCGCCAGCGCGCACCGAAGTGCCCACGTGGGGACACGCCCCAATGCGCACAGGTAAGACCCGAGGCCCCAGCGCGGGCGCGTCACGCACGTCGTCGGCGCACCAATCCGCCCTTTTTTCCCCACGGTCAGCGCGAGCTAAAGACAGCAACGCTATTCCTCGCGCCACTCCCCACGGAGCAGCACGGCGAGCCGCATGGCGAAACTGCACTCGAGGCGAAGCGAACCCCGGCCACGCCCCGCAGGAGCGCAAGAGGGCCCCAAGGGAGCCACCGAAGCCTCCGGGACCCGGGGACCAACGACCGCCGGGGGCACCCCCGACCGGCGCCCCCCGCAGCCCGGAGCACCGATGTGAATCAACGCAACGTGTATTTGTGAGAGGCAAAACTGATATGAAGCAGGTATAGAAGCTTCACAACGCCTTCCGTCTCCTGCTCCTCCACCCCATCATCCTCTCCTCACCCCTCGTCCTCTTCCACCCTCCCCTCCCCCGCCCTCCTCATCCCTTCTCTCAGCCTCTTCACATCATCAACATCATCATCACCAGCATCAGCACCATCATCATCAGCACCACCATCATCATCATCATAATCACCCGCATCATCACCATCCACATCATCGCCATCATCATCGTCATCGCCAACAGCATCGACATCGGCATCATCATCGTCATCAGCAGCATCATCATCAACAGCATATGCATCATCATCAGCATCATCATCATCAGCATCCGCAGCATCATCGTCATAGGCATCAACATGGTCATCGGCATCGTCATCGTCATCAGCATCATCATAACCCCCCCCCCCCCCCACCCCCCCCCCCCCCCCCCTCCTCATCACGATCGCCCATCCATGTCCCCTCCATCCACCACACCTCGCTCGTCCTCCTCCTCGTCTCCTCGTCCTCATCTTCGCCCTCTCCCTCATCCCCCTCCTCCTCCTCCTCCACCTCCTCCTCCTCCTCCTCACCCTCGTCCTCCTTCACCTCCTCCCCCTCCCTCCGCCTCCGACCCCTAGCGCGGCGCGGAACGCGGGCGGTGCATACGCCGAGCCCAGTGGCCATGGGAACGCATTCCCCTCTTCCCTCGTCCTCTTTCTCGCCCCCCTCCTCCTTCTCCTCCTCCTCCTCCCCCCCCCTCCAACTCCACCTCCTCATCTTCCTCTTCTCAGATTCTTGATTCAGGTGGTCCGACGCTTGGCTATGATATGTCATGGCATGCATGGTATGATATGGCATGCCATGCTGCGCTGTGCTGCACGCTGCGTATGCTTTGGTACGCTATGTTGCCATGCTGGGCAATGCTGTGACAGGATGGTACGCTATGCTACCTTGTTGGGCAATGCTGGACATATGCGATGATAGGACGGTACGATATGCGATGCCGCGCCCATCTGAATGCAAGGGAAAAGAGGGCGCACGCGCGGCTTCGCCACTTGAGACCGAGCACGCGGGCACGCTGCCTGCGCGGACTGCTGCAATTAAAACTTGATGCGGTTAAACTGCGACTTCTTCAATGTCGGAAGCCACGTGAATACTGGGTGGCGCCTGCACTGGGGCCGAGTATTATTTGGGTGGTTGGGCCGACGCGCGCGCTCAGAGGGTTGGCCCATCAGCCTGAAGATACCCCCCAGTGGCCCCCCCCCCCCCCCCCCCCCCCCCCCCCCCCCCCCCCCCTCCCCAAGCCCAGCGGGCGCTTGGGGGGGAGGAGGGGTAGATTTAAAGTCCACCCCATCTCCCCAGTATCCCCAAGCCGACGGGCCCAAGCCTCTGCTCGCGAGCGTCGGCCCCGCTGCTGAACACGAATGGGCGCCAACCTCGCGGCTGGAACCAGGTCGTCATCAGTAACAATGATCAGACCGTTCTTAAGTGCCAGCGTAGCATCTTTTCCAGCATGTTTCAGACGTACCCTTGCAGTCTCGATCTCCTTCCAAATCCTCTTCTGTCGCCTCTCCTGTGGCGTGACATCCCACGCGCTGCAGACCGCGAACCGATCGGCCGCCATCGCGCCGTCTCTGTCGGCCAGGCCGCTCTGGGCGGCGGGAAAGATGGCGCCTCAAAATGGAGGGGCTCGGACGGGCATCGCTGGGCCAGTGGCGGCCCGAGGGCGATGGCTGAGGAAACGAACGGCAACGACGACGACGATGACGATAACGCCCACCACCGCTCTTCGCGAAGCGGCTGCAGTCCCCGAGGATGGCCCAGATGGTATTCTTGCGGTCCACCTTGTGGGGGGGCCCTGGGAGGGCCCTATCATGCCATCACGGCTGGGCCCGCCGCGAAAGTTGGTTCGAACGCGCCCCGCGCGACAACGTTCGGCGACGAAGAGGGGGGCGCGGCGACGCGGGAAACCACAGCCGCGCCCAGCAGCGGGGCGAGCGACGGCGAGGGGATGATGGGGATGAGGAGATGAGAAGTACGAGAAGGGAAGCCACTCATCGAAATAGTATGACGGCCAGGGAAAGGAAAGGGGGCGGAGGAATGTGAGGGCCCAAATGTTCTGACGCAAGCGTTGAAAAGAACGCATCGATGCGCTATAATGCACAGTGTGCTGTGCCAGGCCGGCTGCGCCACGGTGACCGCCACGCACCGCGGGCCCCGCGCACAATAGTATCATCCGCGGCGAGGCCAAGCCAAACGAGGAACAGATGACACGGATGACGGATGCCGAGCGCCGAGACCTACGTCGGGATATCGAGTGCCGGTTTCAAGTTCATCTCGTGTTAGCCATTCCCTTCGAGAACCCGAGAGCGAGAGATTCGAGCGGAGCGCATCGCTGGCGCGGCCCCGTCGGCCCCGTCGTCCAAGCCCAGACGGCGTGGGGCCCTAGCGAAGGAGGTGCTTGCCTGCTTTCACAAGCACGGGGTCGAGCGAGATCGGCCCGCCACCAGCAGCGCTTGCTCCGTCAGAGCCACCGCCGCCGCCAGCAGCCTGCTTCGAAGCTGCTGCAGCGGCGGCCAGCGCAGTCTAGGCGGCGACGCCGAAACGTGGCGCAAGCTTCGCGGCGCCAGGGGCGCGGCGCTGCCTGCGCTTCCGCACAACGCCAGCTTCGCCCGACAGGGCCACACGGGTGGGCTTAGTCTCACATGTAATCGGTGCGTCCGTCGTGGACGGCGCAGGCTTCAACGCTGGAACCTGGAAGACCCTCGTCATTATCCTCTCTTCTTCCTCGTATTCCTTCTCCTCCCCATCCTCCCTTTTCACATGCACCTCCACCTCGTCCTCCTCCTGTGTCCTCCTCCTCGTCCTCCTCGTCCTCCTCATTGTCATCCTCCTCCTCACCCTCCTCCTCCGCCTCCTCACCCTCATATCCCATGTATCCCGCCCTTCCTTGCCCGTTCAAACCGATTTGGGGGACCCCCCCCCTGCCCCTCATCATCATCCTCTCCCTCCCCATCCTTCGCCCCCCCCCCCCTCATCTTCATCAGCATCGCCATCGCCATCGCGGCGATGGCCCTGGTGCCTTCAAGGCGAGGCGCTGCTGCGATATGAACCGGCTCATGCCCGTCTTCTTCTGCTGCGGCGCCTGCGCGGACATGTTCAGCTGCAGGTCGTGCCAATAGATCCCCATGGTGGGGTCATTCTCGACGACCTTGACCATGTAGGCGGGAACCGCGATCTCCGAGAAGAGCGACGCGTTCCCGACCATGTAAAACGGGACGCCGTGGAGCTCACCGAGCTTGATGCCGTCCTTGGGCGGGTTAGTAGTGACCGAGCCAGCGAACGGCAAGCGCAGATCCTCATTCGTCTGTTGATTTCCAGCGACGGGTCCGTGGCACGAAAGTTGATGCTGATGTCCCCCCAGTGCTGGGAGAAGCTCTTGTAATAGTTCCACACCTGCTTCTCGGCCTCCGCCTCGACCATCTTGATGAAGGGCAGGTCGACCTCGTCAGCCGCCATCCTGAACCTGTAGAAACTCGCAAGGTTGACAGTCTCGGTCACGAGCACCTGAACCTCCTTCGCCAGATTGGGCGCGTCGGGCTCACGCTCGGGCCCAGGCTGCTTGGATCCACCGTCGCAGGCAAGCACGCCGCCGTCGCCCTCGCCGCCCTTCGCCTCCATCTTGACCTGGAACTGGGACAGTTGGCCATTGGTGCCCTGACCTGCGCCCGCGCCAGCGTCAGAGGTAGTCGCGGCATCCGTGTTGGCCACTGGGCTATGCTTCGCGATGTCCTTCAGCGCGTGCTGGTTCCTGCGCATATCATTCAATAACGTCGACCACCACTCCGTCTGCTTCTCCTTGCCCGCCAGCTGGATGTCGTGCGACCCTACGTTCTCGATGCAACTCGTGACGTCGCTGCCGACCTGCGCAGTCAGGTTCGCCAACTCTGCAGCGACGATGGAGTTCACGGTGACGCCAGGCTTCCCGATGGCGAAAGCAATCGCTTGCATGATCAACCTGGCCCGAAACAAACCGAAACGCAAGACCTCTTGTGTGTTCTCCCATATCATGGCCACGCTGCACGGCACCCTCCCAAGCGCCAGCACCTCCCTGGCGATATCGGCCCACTCGGAGGGGAACGCGTGCTCGGCGACGGAGATGCAGTAGTCGAGGATCTGCTCGATGAACAGGTGGCCGACGAGGTCGGCATCGGTCAGGATCTTAAAGAGGGCGCTCTGCGAAGCAGGGTGCTGGGCAGCCCCGCCTGACTTCAACTGGATCGCGAAAGCCGCGAGGGCGATGAACTGCCCCTCGTCGTCGATGAAGGTGGCCATCTTCGCGGAGATGGTGTGCCGATCGCTGTCAACGCTGACACCCGCGGCAGCGCTCTCTCTCTCTCTCTCTCTCTCTGCCGATTGCCGCTGCCGCCGCCCTTCGAGCACACCCCCCGATGATCGACCAACATCTGCTTCAACATCTGGCACAGCGAAGAGAAGCCCGTGACGTTCTTGCCGTGGACGGCAACAGAACCCGCCCACACGAACGCCAAGCATGCCGATGAACAAAACGACACCGTGCCAGACGATCCAGGCTCAGACGGCATCTCGGGGGTTGCAGAAGAAGCCAACAAATAGCCAACCACGTCGATGGCGGTCGAGTTATCGCCTCGGGAGGTCAAGAGAGCGCAGCCAAGCAGATATGGAACCGAGGACCAAGACTTGGGCCCTTGTCTTGGCCCCGCCCCTCAGGAGCGGGGCCAAGACAAGGACAATGACCTAAGTCTCGGCACCCTCGGCCCCGCTCGGAAAGACCGAAGGCTGAGGCGAAATTGAGGCGGCAAATATTTCTGAGAGCCGCTGGCCGATATTCTGCAAGATGTGCTTCTCAGCCCCAGACTGCGCTGGGTCGCCCATCGACGTGATCTCCCTGCGCTTCGACCCCTGGCCTGCCTTCTGAGTGCTATCCTTCTCCTTATCGTACTTCTCCTTATCCGGATCCTTACCCTTGCCGTCGCCGCCGCCCTCCGCCTGCGCGATCTGGGTCAGCACCGTCGCGCCCTTGATGGGGTAGGACAGCAATTCTAGCAAGAACTGGTGGCTGATGGGCGACTTCGGAGCAAAGACCCACGGGGTGCTGACGTCGTCGTCGTCGCTGGCCAACGGCGCGATGAATTTCATGGCCTCGTAGACTAAGTTCGCGACGATCCTCTCTGACACGGAGTCCTTCAGCCGATCGAAAGGCTTGGGAGCAAAACTTTCTGCTTTTTTTCCCAACCCTCCTTGGTTGGGCATTCGTTTTGAATAGAGCAGTGTGGTCGCGTCCTTCCTCCTCCCGCCTCCCGCCTCTTTCCTGCCTCTTTCTGTCTTGCCTGCGGGGGGCTGTGAAACTATCGCCAGTTTCGAGGCCTGCCGGGGGGTCCAGCATAGAGGGTAATCGCGGCAGATCCAAATTAGACCTCGCCATTCCTGGGGGGCTGCGATCTGTGAAACTGTCGCCACTTTCGAGGCCTGCTGGGGGGCTCGGCATAGAGGGTAATCGCGGCAGATTCAAATTAGACCTCGCCATCCCTGGGGGGGGGGGGGCTGCGATCTGTGAAACTGTCGCCACTTTCTGAGCCCTGACCTCGGGGGGCTGCGATCTGTGAGTCGCCACTTTCGAGGCCTGCTGGGGGGCCCAGCACAGTGAGGGCCACGCGCGGATTCAAATTAGACCTCGCCATCCCTGGGGGGCTGCGATCTGTGAAACTGTCGCCATTTTCGAGGCCTGCTGGGGGGCCCAGCACAGTGAGGGCCACGGCGGATTCAAATTAGACCTCGCCATCCCTGCGGGGCTGCGATCTGTGAACCTGTCGCCACTTTCGAGGCCTGCTGTGATCCCCGTTTTCGAAGTGGCTAGGAGTGCTCAGGAATTGTAAATCATCAGCTTTATCAAGCCCTTTTCCTGTAGCCAGTGTCCTGCGAGTCTCCCGAATTCCGTCTGCAGACATGTAACCCTCGCTCCGTCATCGCCCCCTTATAAAGTATCCTAAACTATTTGCGCCCCGCTTTTGCGCAGGGGTTGGGTACGTCGCCAGGGTATTTGTTTGGCTAATCGCGCTACGGCCCGAAGGTTTCGCACCCTCGTCGCGGGCGCCCCGCGCCCTGTCGAGTTCTGGCCGTCTCGGGGCCAGCCTGGCCCCCGATGTGTTTCCGAGAGCCACGGGAAAGGGCCATCGGATGGGCCCCAGCCCCAGGAACCCCAAGATGGCCAGATGACCCCAAGAGTCTTAAGAGGGCCCATGACCCAACGCGCCCCCAAGACCGAAGAGAAAGCAAACCCTAAACGGGGCCCTGGGCGCCGTTGACGACGGCGCGAAACCTGTGGGTTTCTTTTTTCCTATGCTAATCACGTCAAGCAGTGGCGTGATAGCCGTGGCGCGATTAACAAAAACCAGAAGGTCGTCCTCCATGTCCGTCCATCCCCCAGGGCAACTGGCCTGTTTATGATGGTCTTCGCCACGTCGTGCATGTTGCCGACGACGGCATGGATCTGGAAGTCCCTGTTCAAGTAGTCGCAGTACTCGCCCATGAGGTCGCTCACCTGGTCCTTGATGCGCATCTTGACCAGCTGGTCACCAAGGCGGCCAGCCTTCAGAAACTTGTTGTTCTGCCCCTGGAAGTGCACTGGTCTTTCAAAAAATTCCACGTCGTCGGTAGGTATCCATCCTCCTCCTGGTCACCGCTGCGCTCGACCACCCCAGAGTCGAACGCGCGAGCAGCCCACATCGCTCGCAGCGCAAGGGCGTCATTCACAACCTCATCGGATGTGATCTCGCTGCCACCGTGGAACCTGTTGTGGTAGGTCTTCATCCACTCCTCGCGCTTGGGGTCGATGTCGGCGTCCAGCAAGATCACGTTCCGAAAACCATTCTCCTTGGCGTACATCACGAACTTGTTATCCTTGTGATTGACGGCCATGGGGTAGAACGTGTCGCAGATGCGGGTGCCCCACGCAAGCGCCCAGTAGGGCGGCACATTTCCTTTCGACAGCTTGAGCCACATGGAGCCCGCGACGCCGCCAGTCACGATGCCATTCATGAGGAAGATCTTGGCATAGGCTCGCGACGCCGTCACCTGCTTGCGCTGGTTGACCTTCGCGCGGACGATCTGCTGCTCGCCATTGACGTCGTAGGGCATGACCTTCCGATCCAAGCCCTTGACCTCCCACCTGGCGATCACCCAGTCCAGGCGCATGGAGCCCTCGAGGGTCTCGAAACAGTCCTGCGACAGAGAAGGAATCAAACTTGTTTTCAACGAACTGCATTTTCCTGGAAAATACCGTTCGTTGAAAACCAGCTTGCACACGGGTGGCGGCGTGGGGGACAGGGCCAGGGACTGCTTTACCAGACCGCCGTTTTGAAACTGGAGCGGTCGGCATAGCACGGCGAATCATTGTTACACGATGTTGAACGTCAAACGCCTCGCGAGACGCCCCCCCCCCCCCCCCCCCCCCCCCCGGGGCTTGCAAGGCCAGCCCATGAAGGCTCGGCAATCCGTGGATATCCCGTCCACCGACGTGGCCTGGAATGCCGACCGCGTGGCCTGGAATACCTGCATCATCGTCGTCATGCATGTGCTGATATCCACATCGCCCTCCTCCCCCTCCCCCCCCCGCCCCCCCCCCCCTGCGGTTCGTTTTACCGCATCGGCTTGAACAAGAAACGCCCGTCATGCCCCTGGGGCTGCGGGGATCAGGAAGGCCAGAGAGAGCACGGTACAAAACGGGGAGGGAACACTTTTGGACAAAAAAAAGTTGGTCCTGATGGCGCCCTTGCAAGAGGCGCGGCCAAACGCTAGATTTTCCCCAAGGCAAACGCCCGTCCTGCGCCAGAGGCCGACTGGGCGACACCGACACTGGCACGGCGGGGCCCGCTGCTGATGAGTGCGGCTGCGCCCCGCCAGCTGGCTGACTGCCGCTCGCAGCCGCTGACCCTGCCCCAGACGACGACCCGCCACTCGATGGTGCAGGGGCGATCTGGGTCTGCTGGAGCTGCTGCATCGCTGCCGCCGCCGCAAGCAGGGCATCTGGCGCGGCGCCCTGCATCAATGCTTTCAGGGCCGCCTTCATGCCAGCCCAGGGCTGGAGGGGGGAAAAATGCGCCGCACTGCCCAGACGCAGTCACCACAACAAGCTAAAACAGCTAGGCCGGTTACGAAGCGGACGGTGATGCTCATAAGATGTGGGGCCATAGCACGATGAACTCACCACGATGAGGGGTCTTAGTACGAGGAAGGCCATAGCCAGCACGGGGACAATATGGTCATATTACGAGGGGGGTCATCGCCAGCATGGGGGCAACATGGTCATAATATGAGGGAGGTCATATCCAGCATGATGGTGATCATCGTACACAGGGTGTCGTAGTATGAGGGGGCATAAACAACATTATTCATATTATGAGGGAGGTCATACGCAGCATGAGCGCAAACATCGTATGAGGGGGGTCATACTATGGGCGCCGTATCCAGCATGAGGGTGATCATCATATGAATGGGGTCACATTGTGAGTAAGGCCATAACCAACATGGTGGTTATCATCTGATGAAAGGGGGACCGATGGTCATCGCCAGTATGACGATGGTCATCGTATTAAGGGGTGCGCCGTATGAGGGTGGTAGTAACACGTACGAGTGTGGCATGTGTCAATGCGAGGGGGTTCATTAAGTAAGGGAGTAGGTAGTGTGGCGACGCTTGTGATCCACTCCTCAGATTGTGATGGCCATCAGAATATCCATGATAGTGGTTATGACCACTGTCATACTAGGCACGCGTGTCGGTATCAGGCGAACCATATACACCTACATGTTAGGACGCTGTTCATATACATACGCTTGACTGTGCGGGTTTGCTCGCAAGATTCGCCTTCGGTCCCAGGGTGACCGCCAACATGCTAAGACTCTGCTCACACCCAGCCTTCTCACTCAGATGGGTATTTGCGAACGGCCCCGCACCGAGCGGGCGAACTCTGAAGCCCGTCAGCCCCACGCAGCGCAGCAGACGTTGCGAGGAAAGGCGCCCGTATGAGGCACGCCGCCCCTCCTCATAATACACATGCCGTTTCTGGGCATGCAGGCCACGGGGCTGATTTGGAGAACGGGCGCATGCGAGCGAGGGCGAGGGGGCGCGGGAGAGACGGGGGGATTGGATCGGAGATAAAGATTGTTCAGATGACGATGTGCGCATGTCTGTTGCAGCAGCCCATCGCTGCCATCATGCATGCGTGCAATTCGCGGCCCTTCGGCCGTCCATCACGTGAAACTAACGATTCAAGGCCGCGCAGACAGCGCGGTGCACA